AAACAGCACGACCAGTTTCCAAGTCACTGATAAAGCTGGAGAACGTGAGCTTGAATGGTTGCATCCTAACAGCTGGGATATAAGTTGGTGCCTGCTACAGCCTTTCATAGAATCATAGAATCATAGAATAATAGGACTGGAAGGGACCTCAAGAGGTCATCGAGTCCAGCCCCCCGCCCTCAAGGCAGGACCAAGCTCCACCTACACCATCCCTGACAGATGTCTATCTAACCTGTTCTTAAATATCTCCAGAGAGGGAGATTCCACCACCTCCCTTGGCAATTTATTCCAATATTTGACCACCCTGACAGTTAGGAATTTTTTCCTAATGTCCAATCTAAACCTCCCTTGCTGCACTAACGACACTAGGGAACAGCATGACCGGCTCCTTGTGCCCCCATCTAGAACGTTTAGGAAAAAAAGCAGCATGATCAAGGGGGACTTCACGGACGTCCGGTATAACAGGCAGGGGATGGCACGGCCTGCTGCTCTGGGGGCAGAAACATGTCCGGGGAGGCTGGGATACATGTCTACGTCCTCCTCCTCTCCCTGGGGGACAAGGGGCAGTGTGCTGCCCCACCTCCCTTTGGTGGGGGAGGCGGCATGGCTCCCGTGGTGGGGGCCTCAGCAGAAGGGGCAGGGCTCAGGGTTTGCCTCCCCCAGCCCTACCTTCACTGACCGCCCACGGGGGACTTCAATCTAAGTGACATATGCTAGGGCGGTGTTTCTTAAACTTTTTAAGACCAAGGAACTCCAAACGATAATTTTTTTTTATGAGGAACAGCAAGGATATTTTGTTGAGAAGAGGAAAAAAAAGGGGTCAAGGGGAAAGTTATTGATAAAAAATAACCAAAAAAGCAAAAAGGTCGCCTACCCCTTTAAGGGCAGCCATTTTGAACTCTGTTATTCTCCGCGGCACACCTCTGACTGCTTCACGGCACACCGGTGTGCCAGAGAACACAGTTTAAGAAACACTGTGCTAGGGGGTCTGATCTATGTCCCTTCTCCTGCCTGTTATACCGGACGCCCATGAAGTCCCCCTTATTCACGCTGCTAGTACTAAAACAACCTTGGAATTTCTAAACACTAGAGATGACAATTTCCTAACTCAGAAGGGAGAGCATCCAACATCAGAAGATTCCAAATTACACCTTGTCTTTCTTGACAGAAAAAAAGAAAGAACTAAAAATAGCATAGGTACAAGTGATGATGACTTGACCACATTTATAATGTGCAGAGTCAAGTCCAGATCTGTAATATGTACGCTTGGTTCTTTAAAAGGGCCAATTTCATAAAGCTGAAAACAATTATGGAGCTGAATCAGCTGGGTGAAAGAATTTAATTAAAAATGTGAATATTAAAAGTGTTAGTGTTTAAGAACACTTTACTAGATGTCATAAAAGCCACAATTGAGGAAGAAGGCTGCATTGGTGAAAAAAAATAACTTGGTTTAGAGGGGATGTGAAGGAAAGATTGCACATTCTCTCTCTGTATGTGTATGTATGCTGTATATATATATATGTGTGTGTGTGTATATATATATATAGAGAGAGACACACACACACACACACACACACACACACAAATGAAAGAAAGGGGAAGTCAATAGTAATAACTATAAATCAGAAGCTAGGAATTGTAGAAAATTGATAAGGGAAGCAAAGGAACTCATGGAGAACTATATGGCCAGCAAAATTAAGGACTGAAAGAAGAAATGTTTAAAATATATTAGGAGGCTGTGCCCTCTGCTCACTATGCTCGCCAACCCCCCTCTCTGGGGGTAAGTGTCTGGCTGGAGGGAGGGTGCAGGAGCCATCTGGGGGCAGGGTTTCTGGCCGGGGGCAGGAGCAGGCTGGAGGCAGGTGTCTGGCCAGCAGGGAGAGTGCAAGATCAGACTGGGGTTAGGTATCTGGCCAGGGGGGAGGGAGCAGGAGCAAGTTGGGTGTGCAGGGTTTTGGTGAAAGGCGTGAGTGAGGGGGCTGGGGGTATCTCCTGCCCCTCCCCCCCACAAGGGGAGAAGGCATGTGGGACTTTTCCTGTGGGATGACAGAGTGACATCATCACGGCACTCTGCATTTCACAGCCCCTCCCTCTGCCCTTCCTGCCCCTCCCCAGTACTCTGGAGGGACGGCCTCCTCTTGCAAGGGGGAGGGCACACAGCCCCCAGCCGCATCCCCATTAGGGAGAAGGCCTCTTGGCTCCGATCCCCCTGGACCGGGTGTGGGGAGGGAAGCCGCGTGGAGTACCAGGAAGGGGGAAGGGTGGCTGAGGGATGGCATCCCTCTGTCATCCTGCAGGAATTTTGATATATATATCCAGTTCCAGAAGACTGGAAGACAGCCAGTGTCGTACCAATACATGAAAAGGGCGAATGTGATGACCTAGCTAACTATAATCCTATCAGTTTGACATCGATCCTGGGCAAGATTGTAGAGCAGCCAATACAGGACTCGATTAATAAAAACTGAAAGGAAGATAATATAATTAACACCAAATCACTCTGGGTTTATAGAAAATAGAACCTGTCAAACTAATCTAATCTCTTTTTTTTTAAAGGGAGATTACAAGCATGGTTGACGAAGGGGATAGTGTTGATGTAATATACTAAGACTACTGTAAGGTCTTTGATTGTATACCACACAACATTTTGATTAAAAACGAGACCGATATAAAATTAACATGGCACGTT